TGGTTCGAGTCAATCGGAATCGACAAGAGCTATGGGTCGATGGACAACAAGTGAGTAATGTGGATATGACTCGTGCTCACCTTCGATATGAAGTGCGTGCATCTTATCGACAAAATTGGAACGTTTCGCAGTGGCACGAGCAAAAGATGCATTTGCCTGATCTTCTCTGTCTCGGATCGAAGAATAGTGAACATCACAATCCCTGGAAAGGCAAAATTGCCGATGTGTCCGTTTGGCGACGATGGCTCAAATCATTTGAAATTCGCGCCTTGCATCAACAGCATGTATCCATTGATAAAGTGAAACTGGGCTCATTCGTGTGTAACAAATAGAAAAAAAAAACAGTTCTTGTTAAATCTTTCGATGGACACTTGTGTTTTTCAACAGCATCTGCTAACCTTTTGTTCGATCTGAAAGCCATCATGCTGTGTGTGTTCAATGGGTTCCTATAGGTTGGTCGAATCTACTAGATAAAAAATTTTTCTCTTAAATCATTCGTTTGTCTCAGTCACGTTGCTATTGTCTTTTCCCATCCTTTCAAACAGAAATATTCTGTTTCCATTTTCTCGTTAAAATAAATGTATTCTTGAAGAGAATTTTGACGAGCCAGTTGTTGATAAAAAATTAGGGAAAACTAATGAGAAGAGATCTACATAGATAGAAAAATAAAAAGTAAAAAGCTAACCATTTTCCCTGAACAATCAGGTATGAATCTCATATACCCTTTCATAAAATGTTGCTCATCTCGTCGATCGAGAGAAAAAGTTGAAAACAGGCGAAAAAAATGATCTGTCGATCGATGAGATTGTTTCATCTGAACAGATCTCGTGTGAAGTTGTAATCCAATGAAATCGTTTTCTTCAATTGATTGAACAATTTAAGTTCTTCTGATGGATACTGCGATGACATTTGGTAAAGTTTTTTGTCGAAATCTTTGTTCATTAGAATATTGAAAATTCTCTTTCTTATCACAGCTCTTGTTGAAACAGCCAAATCTCGGTCTGTCCTAACAACTTCGAAACGAACCAATGAACTCTTTTGACTCATTCCTCAGTTCAACTAAAATCAACCAATTCCTTTTTCTTTCCTATCGATGGCTATGAATAATCGCCTTTGACGAATAGTGGAGAGCGAAAGTTTCCTTCGGAGAATTCTTTCTTCAATTTTGTTCGACATTTTCATCCTATTAGTTTCTTTTCTCTATCTGAAGAATCAACATTGTTTATTGTTTCTTTTCATCTCGATAACTCAACCATGTCGAACAAACAGATCGATGGAACGTTGATTTCTGGCGAAACGACGGTTAAGATCGTTGTGCGACAAATCGACAGTGATATAAAGAAGAACTTCAATCTGGAATACAAATGATCACTCTTCTCATTCGATCTCAGATGTGGATCATTGCATAGGAGACAATTCGTTGTTCGTCGGAATTTTTTTATTCTATTAGTCAAGAGAGAAAGAATAAACGAAATGAAAATGAAGGTTCGTTGAAATCGATCTCTATTTCTGGCAAAAGACGATTTTTATTCTTTCGATTATTTGCTAAAGAAGATCGATTAGACGACGTTGCTTATTTCGACTTGAACGAATCAGATTGATGATGATGTGTTCATCACTGTCATTAGTTCAATTCACGTTCATTTGACACCTTGTTATGATAGATCATTCAATTTCAGAATCTCATCTGTTTCTTTGAATGAAAGTCATTCGATTCACGTATGGTTCAACTTAAATGTGGAAATAAATCAACAATATTTTCTTCATTTTCGCAATCGGTCGAGTTCAAGAAATCAAGGAGATTTTCCTTTTTTGACAATCTGTTCCATTCTTCTTTTTCATTTGATCACGTCGTTTCTCAAACACAAGTCTTCATCCTTTTCATAAATCGTCGTTTCTTCGCACGATTTAAAGCCATACGCCACCAAAGGCGGCAACGCTCGCGCGATCTGCTTGGATAAATTCATGTACGGCTACCAGAATCTTCTTGTGGATCTCTATAAAATCGGGACCTTTGATACACATATCGTGCTTCTAAGCCTTGGGACAAATCTCAAACTGAATTATTATGAAATTCATTTACGGCATCTAGTGGAAATTATATCGGAGAAGGATCTCACCAGAAATAAAAATAAATCAGACAGAACCCTAAACTGATAAATTCTGCCAAGCTTCGATCAGAATCTGGTTCCAATTCCTATTTATTTTTGTTATGTGAATCTTTCCTAGACTCTTCCGGAAGAAGCATTTCAGATTCTCACAAAAAAGAAGTATGATACGGATCTTGAGGAGAAGATGCAAGGATTTAGTTAAGATCTTTGCAGGTTTGTGTTTAAAGTCTATTCAGAACTTGATTTGCAGGATCCTATCATGATTTTACCTGATTTTAGTTCAGTATCTGTGCAAAATCTGTATATCTATAAATCACAACGGGATATCAACGCCAAACTTGAGTAAAATCTCAGCAAAAATACATCAAAGAATTTTTCAACATCCTAGTGTTTTTTTGTTCCGACCACAATAGAATTCTGACAATTGAGTAATCTAGTGGGATTTTTATTCTGATCTTGATTTGAATCTTTACATAAACAATATAGAGATTCTGATAAAATCATTGAATTGTTTTCGGATTTTTTAATAACTTATATTGAAAATGATCTGAGATTTGAACCATAACAGACAGTTAGTTTTTTAATCTTATCCTGAAAAGAAAATCGAGAAATCATTAAATTAGGGCGTTAATTTCAATTTAATCATGCTACAATTGCTTTCATTAAATAGATAGTTTTAGTAAGCAGCAAATCTTTCGGGAAAAATTGTTTGTAGTTTCAATTTTATGCGAAAAAAAGATTAAAAATATATTTTTTAAATATATTTTTTAAATATTATAGAATCGAAACAAAAAAAATAGTAAAATTTCGTCGACTAGAATAAATATTTTTTCTAGATAATTAGTTTTCATATAAAATTCAAATAGAAGTGAACATTAAAGGCAAAAATTAGGATACTGAACGTTGAAGTTATATACAATAACATGGCACAATCCAGCCAGGTAAGCTGATCAGTTTGTAAAATGAAGGTCTAGAGGTCGATACCCTAATGTGTTCAATACTCTTATGTTCTATTTGGAAAATTCTGCAAAGAACCTGCCACGAAATCTGGTAATGCCACTGAGGAAACCTAGTAAGATCCTGCAAGATGTAATGAGAATTTCTTTTTTCCATTTGGGAATTAGTAAAATCCTGCGAGAAACTTTGCCATGTCATGACTACACGTTTCTTTCAGGATTTGCGGTTTTCTAGATGAATTCCTTGTTCTAAATCTAGTGGTTACCGGCTCAGAATTTTGAAATTCCGTGGCTACACACTTTCTTCAGGATTTAATCGCTTCCTCTAGGAAGAAACAGCGAATTCGTGGAGGATCTTTGCCGAATCTGTCAAGGATCTTGTGCGGAAACATCGAAGATTTTTCCTAGAATGTACCCAATTAGATTGAAATAACTTAAGATGTGAGTCTGATCGCCAATCAATGGTTATGCTCTATGACAGTTGAGTTAGAAGCATCACATTGCGTGACGACATGTACAACTGTAACAGTATATCATATGTACAAAACCAAAAGATCGGAGCCACCCATCTCTATATTCTAACAATCGTTCTCTTCAGAATACCTCTAGTCAAGTAGTGCGTTGTCTTCGATTTCTTCTCGATCAGCGCCGCTACATGCAAAAACGTGTCTTTTGCATGATGATCACATTTGAAGTTATACTAGAAGGCAATTAAGATCGAAAAAGTCATCAGTAAACCATAAGTAATACTACTACTTTGATTGAAATAAAACTGCGAATTTGCGTGCTAGAAAAAACGTCTCTATTGTCTTGTAAGCATAAAATCTCGTATTCGGGAATGAATCGTTTTTCAAAGTGAGAAAAGTTCTGATGTATTTTCATTCACCAAGAATCGTTTGATGAGGATGAGATACAAAACAAACAGATTAAAAAAAAATTTTTCTTACACTGGTTATCAACAGCTGCCCCAGAACTTTCTATATGTAATATTTCGGCATAATAAGAAATACATAAAAGTTTGAACGTTGAACTGAAATATCATTTGTTATAAAATATTGAAGGCAAGTTGGTTTATCTGTGTTTCAATTCAGATTTCCATGGCAGAAGTCTTTTACAAAAAATGACTGTGGAACCATTACATGATTATCTATCTATATTTGGACTGTCAACTCTGATCGACGTTGATATTTTTGTTGTACATGCTCCCTACAAAATAGATTATTCATTTTCTGGGTCCGCAGTAGAATAGATATGATGGATTACTGAAATCTCAGTCTTCTCTTGGAAGGATGAACCGAACCTGTTTGAGTCTGTATAGATTTGCACTGATAAAATTAATCAGAATGACAATACTATTTGTGATCTATTTAGTCGGAAAGCTTTAGAAGGTTTCCTTGAGTCTTTCCATGGACCTTGGAAAGAAGTATATGGTGTTCAACGTTTATGCTACACTTCTTTTTTTAGCAGTACCGTCAAACTCGTGATGCTTCCGCGCGTCTTCAACCGCTGCCTCCATTCAACAAATCTTGTTCAACGATCGTTTTAACCGACGGAAAAGTTTACAGACTTCCGAATTCGATTAGTACAGCGCCAGAAAATGTTTGCACGCTCCAACGAAAGGATGTGGCTATCGCAGCCGGAAAAATACTTGCCATGATAGATCCATCGCAAACGGCCTCATTTATTGATTCTATCCAACATAGTCATCTGCTCATTCTTCCTATTTCGGCTCAAGATCAACTCATTATTCCGAGACTCATTGGTGTCCACGTTCATGCCATCGGAGGTGGAGGAGAACAAGGTTTGTTGACTATGCTGCTCTTGTCGTAGGTTTCAGAAGCGATTTCTAAAAATCTGACATCAGTTTTGTTCACTTACTGCCATTGTCAATGAACGGGCTATAAAGTCTTAGACAAATTCGACTGTGATTTTCTCAAAGAAGTGAAAGTAATGTTAGTGTCAACTGAACTTTTTCACCAAGTGTTACATTATACATACGTTGTTCAGTTCTTAATTGTTCGTAATTCATACCATAAAACTTAACAATTTGTTTTAATTCGTCATCATTTAAAAAGACTTTGGTTAAAAAAAATTTCTTGCATAAAGAAACTATATTGATATTATTTTCATTAAATCTTTCTTTAATTGATAATATGATTACATCTAATACAGCATAAAAAGAATTGATACGGTGCGAATCTTTAATAGCTAATGTTGTAGACACAACATCACCACCACCCAAACGTATAGAAACTTTTCTTTTTCGACGTTCACAAGGTCCATCAATATTATTTATATCACAAAGATCCACAGTTGTATTCCAGATTCTATCAAATTGATTTTCATTTCTCAGTGACTCGAGGGAGTCAATCGTAGCTTTGACTTGAACTAAAGCTTGTATCAAAGACACATCTGATTTTTGTAAATATTTTGATAATATATTTGTAAGAAGAAACACCTCACTCATTAAATGAATGTGAAAAATGAAATCAAATGTTCGTATAACTGGTAGCATTATAAATGCATAACCAATTTCGATTTCTTCCAAAGCAGGTATTATTTCAGAATAACGTGTTACAATAACTTTTAAAGATTCATGACGACATGTCCAGTGTGTGCCACACAATTGCTTTAAAAACAATGATGCTAAACCTGCGTCCTTTTGTATATAGCTTCAAAAATTTTATGACGTTTAGCTGATGCTTCAATCAGATTATAAAGTGACTTAATAAGCGGTCATCCATAAACGACTTTTAAGTAAAGTCGCATTGTTAATGGACCTCGCTTTCGTTGTCTGAAAACATCTAGTTTCGGTTCACTTCTCTCTTCTAGCTGAACACCTAGCTCCAATTTTATTTTTGAAAGAGCGCATTTGGTCAAATTCACTATTTCTCGACCAATCGACTGGCATACATTTTATATAGAAGATGCATTTGTATATGATGAATCACAGAGTTCGGACATGTTGCTCTTTTTAGAATTGAGCACAAAGCTAATTTTACCTGCAAATTTCGCAAAAACAACTGAAAACGACAACAAAGTTCGAATGACCTCTTGAACGCCCAGATACGTCTAACTGATCGGCTTTCCTTCCCGAAAACGTTCGATTTTAGTACACTCTTTTCTTTTTCACGAATATCCTATATAGATGATTCTTAACACCAAAATTATTTCTAATAGGTACTACAGCTTGTGCTACATCAATTAAACATAAATTTAAAATATGACCATTACAATGAACATATAAAGCAGTAGGTACAATTTGAACTAAACGTGCTGCAACACCTTAATAAGTACCGCACATGGCACTAGCACCATCATAGCACTGACCAACTATGTTATCAACATCTAAATCCATTTTTTTCAACCATTGCCAGTCGTGCTGAATGCTCGTTCAAACCCAATAAAACGTTTATAAACATGAAATTGATCATCAGTATATTGTATAACCAATGATACTTGTTCATGACGAGAAATATCAGCTGTTTCATCCATCATGTTTGAAAAAAACTTGGCATTTTTTATCTCTAATATAATTCGAAATAATATATTTTCTTGTATTAAACTCAATATCTCATTTTGTATCGAATGATGTATTATTTTAAGGACTTTAATTTACTTCTAATTATCTCATTTTCAATACTTCTTAATTCAAGAAGTTCGAGAAAAGTACCTACAAAAAACTAAGAATATGATTAGTAGAAAACAGTATAAATTTACAAGAGTAACTTCTGCATACCTTTGTTTTCCGATTCATCATCTTCTCGATGATCCCGAAATACTAAACCTTGTTTAACAAGAAACAAAAGAGTTCGAATTATCTCCTTTAAATACATTCGATTCTCTAAAGTTTGTTTTTCGTGTTGTTTATTAACTTGTTTCAAAACGTCCTTATGGTTTTTGTAATTTTTCTGTGCATTAAGCCATAAATCATTAGCATGTTTATGTGATGATGGTGTAGGTGTGGGTGTGCTAACAATAACAATAACAAAATATATCATGTTACCGTTTCTCAAAATATTTGCGACAAGTTCTTATATCAAATGGTAAGGAAAGATACTGTATGAATAAAGTGATCCTTTGAAGTTCGTACAAATTATGCTTAGCATTGTTTCATTGATTTTTTTGAATCAAAAAGTTAATGTTATTGTTATTAATAACAATAACAATAACGTTCTCACCCATAATCTAATGAGAATATCAAAATAAAAATTCATTGTATTGGCATACCATCTGTTCGTCTTCTCAGAAAACATTTTCAAAAATAACAGTGTCCAAAACATTTTTTTCCGAAACAATTTCGTGACAAAATATGTCCTCCGATCTCTTCTTTCGATTGGTGAAAATCACAGGTCGCTAGCTCTTGCCCTTATTGAGTTATCCAATTTACACCAACCCCTCTTTAATTCTGGCGCGGACATTAATGCAAACTTCTCTGATTAGAATAGTCTGATAGGTGAATTGTTTGTTTTTGTAAAACGAGGAAAAGGAAGAGAAATAAATAATCACAAATAACTAAATTCATATGAAAACAAATTTATAAAATATCCTGAAAGTTCGCCATTGCTAAGGCAAACTCGTATGATTTTTCTATTTATCTAAACTAATCAACTAATTTTATTTCATGTTCATATTTTGAATACAATTTTATTGTAGGTTTTTAAGTATTGATCATTCCGCTATCTATAAATTTATCAAAGATACCATAACATAGATGATCGAATTACAAATATGGTAAAAGATTTTAGCATTGTTTCATATGAAGCCCATTTAAAATTGAGTAGATCAATTTTTAACTTTCAATGTTTGACTCCCTACTCATCAATTGTGAAATTTTATTGTCTTTACTGGTATATAATGCATATTTGTTATAAACAGTTATTCACAAATTTTGAATGAACTATTACCTTTAAATGTAGTTTCAGATATAATTATTTGTCTTATATTGAATAATATTAATTAAAATTACAAGCAAAGGAAAATCTTTTTGGTAACATTTATTCGATACAGCACAAACACTTAGAAGCAAAGTAGTAATTAATTTTAAAAAAAATAATTATGAGTGAAACGAGTTATTTCCAATTCCATGTGACATGAACAACACCCACATCAAGGTTTCCAGCAACTTTCTGGAATGCTGCAGGTGATAAATCTAAACCACCATATGGACAACCTGGACATCTATCGACTACTTGAACTTCAGTTGAACCACGGGGACCATTTACTTGTATTCTTCGACCACATAAGGAATTACGATTTGGATTTCCATTTGGTGTGTGAGGATCAAATTGAGCCGAATTCATTGCAACAATGTTTTCATGATCACCATGTCGTGTACCACATGCTGTAAGTCCAACATGAACATTGTAATATGTACATCTTCCACTATAGGAACCACTTACTCCAACTCCACCTCCATCTCTACCTTTATCACTGCCACCTGACCAACAAGCTCCTGATCGACAACCAACACCACAATAGTCACGACCATGACCACACCACCCCCATTTTGAACAACACATTCCAGATGGACAATTGCAAGCAGAACTGTAACCGACGATATAACAGAAGATTATTAATGAACAAAGAACAATAGATAGTTTGCTGAATTGATACATATTTTTGAATTATTTTACAATAACCTTAGATCTGTGTAATAGTCTCTATACCATATACATATATATATACCTTAAAAAAAAATATCCCATACCCACTATGGACCCATAAGCTGATGACATTATGTTTTACTAAAAGGAAACGTTTCATTGCATTATGTGTCATTATAGAGAGGAAAATCTACACAACAACATACTAAGTTCCTGGTAATAATCCCACCATCGTGGGGAATATCTGCGATGAGATGTTACTCAGTATTTAAGAAAGCTATGATGAAATTATTCTTTGGTACTAATCATCAATATAATTGTCAAAAAAAAGAATTAAAACAATCAATGTTTTTCTTCTCCTAATGAGATGCGCTCTGTATTTTAGACACTCTTGTTTTCATTCATCTTTTCTTTGTTGATTATAGCTTGATGCCATATTATCTATACTAAGAGAATGACGACGAAGAAAGAAAAGGGAAAAACAATCTTTCCCAGTATAAATGAGATGTCTTTCTTATTATTTTTTTTCTTTATCAACTGTTGTACTTAAATAACTAACGATAGACATAGCCATAGACATCTTAGAAAAAAGATAGACCAACAACGTGAGGGTGAGGGTGTAAGTAAAAATAGACTGTTCCACGACAAATGGATGTTTCTGTTTTGCTCGGACTTCATTAGGTGGATTTAATTGGTATTGTATCTATTTAGTAATTCAAATTAAATCATAACATTGAAATTACTAAGATACAATGATCTTTTTTCTATTGCACAAGAATTTTTCAAATATAATTAACAATATATAATTTTCAAAGAAATTATATATGTCCATATCTATTCGATGTAATATTTTTTAAACAAAGATTTCTATTCATATTGAGAAGTAAATAGAAATAGACCGTTCCACGACAAACGGTGATGTTGTTTGCATTTTTCCAGAACTTCATCAGTGAATTATTTGATATTATATCTATTGTGTTAGTATTTTCCTTGCTATTTAATTGATGTTTGAAAATTGAGTAGATATCTAAAAGAAGCGAAAGACGGTACAAGTAAGTGATATGTATATAGGAATGAGATGATAGCTTCTTTTTATGAAGAATAATGTAATACATTGGAAATGATAAAAGAAAAGAAATTTTAGTAACATCGAAGTAAAAATATAGTTCGGATACATATATTCAGAGAAAATTATGTTAATTTGAGGAATATGCAGTGTTTTTATTTTGATAAGCAATGCATTTATAGATGTGGAATGCTTGTAATGAATAATAGCATGAAGTTTCAGATTGAATTCTACATTATGTTTTCGGGGAACGTTTCCATCGATATTGTCTAGTTTGTTGTTGACATCGTTTCATTTTTGTTTTTTTTTGTCGTTGATTGCAATTGAAAACATTTTGACGGAGATAATCATAAAGGTACTGATCATAATATGCCTCACATTGGTGAAGTTTAAGATTAGTTGCATCAAATTCTTCAAGAAATGATTGGAATTTGTATCTAAAATAGTCCTTTGTAAATCTATTGTATTCATATGACGATTGAATATCTTCGAGCTCATTAGTGAAATCAGATACATTTGTATAGCATTGTGTAGCATGCATAAAAGCTTTTCGTGGCAATCTTCCATATATATGTCGTTGAGGACCGAATAACTATATATGGTAATGAATAGGGTTCAATATCTAAATCATGAACAACTTGAATTTTTAGATCACCATCAATATGACTAATATTAACATCAAGATAATTAATATTGTCATTGAGAATATCATAAAGTTTATCGTCTGATTCGTCCCATGTTAGCATTATTTGATCAAAACATCTATGATATGATATGTATGCAACTAAAAAAAAGAACAATATTCTTATCTGCCAAATATTTCTTTTTTATAGTCTGAAATTGTCACCAAATCTTGTTGCCAATAATAGATAGATATTTGTTAATATCGTCGTCAATGGTGAATTAAAACTACTGTCGTGGATATGTTGATAGAGTTTGTTGTCGTAAAGACAACATTGATTTTCAAGAGAAAGTCGAACAAGTTCAATGATATTTTGTATAGTTGTATCTTGTATTCGTTAGGATGTGGGTGTGGGTGTGGATGTGAATGTTCTTTGCGTGGGCACTCACACACCGCTCACACCTACACCCAGACACCCACACCCGCACCCACGCCCGCCCCACACCCACATCCTAGCCATTCTTTTCATAAATTCAACGTGATTTATTTAAGAGACCGGAAAGGAAAAAATAATAATTCAACGTCATGAGTCTATTCGATTGAAAATTGTTGAACACGATGATTATAACTATCGGCGACATAGAGATTGCCATGTCGATCGAAGGACAAACCGAAGGGAGCGCTGAACTGATTAGCTCCTGTTCCTTCACCATTTCCACCCACAATGACAGTACCCTGTTTCGCTCCTTTAGGCCAGCGCATCACTCGACGATTCCCCAACTCTGTCACATAGAGGGTACCTAATGTATCGACGAACAGTCCTACAGGAAGCGACAATTGTGTCAGAGCATTTCCGTTGCCTTTATGCCCAGCGACGACAATTCCTTCTTTTGCACCTTTATTCCATTTCATCACACGATGATTGAAGTAGTCTGACACGTAGACAGTCTGTTGTTGATCGACAAAGAGGTATCTAGGCTCGTTGAGTTGATTGAGACCATCACCTTTGCCATGACCACCAGCCATGATAGTTCCATTCTTGTCTCCTTCTATTTGATATCGTCTTATTGCATGTTTCTCGAAGTCAGAGATGTAGAGATATCTTTGGTGATCCATGGCCAATCCCGAACAACTGATGTTGTCGAGAAGGATTTCTCCTTGAGTCGTGTCACTACGACGAGACCATCGTACGACTCGTCGATTCAATTGATCACAAATAATGAGACTATTCGTCTCTTTGTCGATCAGCACATCAGTTGGACCATTCAATTCATCCAATCGATTTCCATGTCCATGGCCACCAGCTACTACTTGTCCATTCGTATCACCCACCTTCCATTGGATAATACGATGATTGTGGAACTCAGCGATGACCATTCTTTGACCATCATCAATGCAAAGATTGATTGGGTAGTAGAGTTGATTGGTGGCATTGCCCTGTTCATGACCTCCAGCAACAGTGACTCCATTCTGTGCCCATCGGGCATTGACTGGAATATTAAGAATCACTACAATGAATGAAAAAGAAAAGGAATCGTCGTTGTTGAAGAGATCCCTCTCTCTCTCTATCGTGGGGGAAAGTGTTACAAATGAGATATTCTTCTTCTCATTGAAGAGAACTTGGTGAAACTTTCGAGAATATCCTTCTCTCACAGACTGTAAACAAAAAAAGATCCTCCAAGCAGATATATATTGGGAAACCTTTTCCTAGTTTTCTATAGAGAAACAGGACTTCGTAATAATTCTTATAACTATATCACTTCCATCGAGTCTTAATCTTGTTCATTCCTTAAAAAATCCTAGTCGAATTTATGACAATCTGTATTTACAGGGACTCGTTGGAGTTCTTGTCAAGATCTGTCAAATCCTAAAAATAGAATCTTCGCGTTGGATGAAAACAGTACCTTGAGAAAGATCAATGCTAATGCTCTTCAGGATCTCGAGAGAAAAACATATGGATCTGAGTCATAATCGTGAATGGAGAATCTTTGCAGGATTATAAGGAAGGATACTGGCAAGCTTAAATTCTTGAAGGATCTAAGAAATAAAATAATGAACTCTATCAGACTTCTAAAGTGAAAAACGCCGAGAAGATTTAAACAAGATCTTAAAATGAGCATAGCAAGAATGAGAATATCAAACTCCTGAGAGAATAAATGTACATCGTCAACAGTATGTATCGTTGCAATGTAATGCCTTTTACTTTTAAAATACTGAGAAGACTAATGCTAGTCTTATCGTAGCTCTCGATAGAAAAACATAACAACTTAGTTAGCTTTCTAGAAGTACCAGGTGAAGATTTTTTTCGTCATATGGAAAGCAGGATCTTACTCAGAAAGGTAGGAAGGATTCTGCTAAGCTACTATCAAGTTTTCGAGATCTACTTCAAACGATCACCTGAAAATTCTAGAACGATTTCTATGAACTCGAGACGAGGATCTTAGCAAGAAAATAATGAACACTTTCAGAATCCGAGATTGAAAAATACTTGAATTTGATCTACATGTTACTAGAATGCTGCTGCTAAATATTTGAGCTAATATCTGGATTTTCTTAGGAGAATTTCAGAATCAATTATTTTCGAACCGTTGCAAATAAATGTCAAATCTTTTCCGTATGTATTTGGGTGCGGGTGGGTATGAGTGTTCCTATTCTTCATTCGCACGTACACTCGCGCACACTTTATAAGAATTCAATGTTGCTACCATTTGGTAACAAATGACTTATTATTATGCGATTCAAAATAAAAGTCATCTGGCCATTTTTTGAATAACTTTTGATAGGAAAAAGATAGAGAGCTGCGATTTTCACCATTAAAAAGAGAAGATCCATGGACATAAATCAGTGCTGAAATCTGATTGGTTTACAATAGACCAATCAGGTTTTTTCTCGGTGAACATTTTGAAAATGATATTCTCGAGTTATTTTTCGATTTCTTTGAATTGTTAGTTTGAGTGTTCGATAGAAAAAAACTGTTCTCTTTCGAACTATACAAGGCCGCTCTTCCTAACTTGTTCGTTCAAGAGTTATAAGGGTTTTCCTGAGACGCCTGATTTCAGCT